ACCCTAAACCCTAAACCTGAAGCTTACCATTTGGGGCTGCAGAAGTCAGGTCAGTCAGGTCATTGGGTGTTGGGCTTCAGTCTTTTTCAGCACCCTCACACCTTCGACAAGGTAACATAGGGGCCTCAATCATTAGAATAGGGTTTGGGGGCCCCTTATACTATACTTATAATAAGGAACCCTAAGGAATAATATCGGTCCTATAACAACCCCAGAATGGTGGTCCCCCTCAACCATGTGCAGGACCGGCTTTCAGGCAAGGCTGTATGGATGAATTTCTGGGTTGTTCTCTAAATCTGGGTTTCTTCAAGGGTCCTTTCTTTCAAAGGTACCGTGCCATCTTGGGGACTTAAGATGAACTACCTACATACGCATGTTAAGAGCTTGATGTTCGTGGTTCAGAAGCCTACAGTTCTGTACAGAGGTTTTAGAACCAGCACCGCGCCTGACAAAGCACTGAATCCCAAGCTCTAAACCCTAAACCCTAAACCCTGGGTTTGGAGCGCAAGCAACAGAAAAGGCCCGTTAAAAAAAAAAAAGAAAACTAAACCCAAACGCAGCATCCCAGCCCTTCGACTTCTGTGGGAGGACTTCAGCAGTACTGGTTTGCGCCTGCCCGGCTCCTCGCAGGTGGCCGGGTCAGAGGTTTCGGATGTCGTTTGTCCATGTTTGCCGGCTCCTGGTGTAGAGGGTTTAGGGTTTTGGGTTTGGGGTTTTGAGTTTAGGGTTTTGGGTTTAGGGTTCAGGGTTTTGGGTTTAGGGTTTTGGGCTTAGGGTTTTAGGGTGTAGGGTCTACTTCAGGTTGGAGCATGGAGTCAGCTTTGCTTGTTTGGGATGAGGCAGGGTCGCCAGCACTTGCAAGCTAGGCATCAGCTTAGGACGTTGCTTCAATGCCTCGTGTCTTGCGGGTGGGGCACGAAACGTCTCAGCCTCATACAGAAACCCTCTACCCTAAACCCCTAGAAACACGAAGCCCTAAACCGTCAAACACTACATCACTACATGCTTCGGGCCCGATAGCCTAGGATGCAGCTTACGTGCGAGTTTGAAGGATATCCGATACTTCCCCAAATCATGAACAAGTAGTTCCTTGTATGGAAAGACTGCATTCTACTATATTATATGATAGGACCCTTTCATTAATGCCGCACACGAAACACCAAACGGGGTCCAGGGCTTTGGCATTTGGATTTCGCGTTTTTGGGTAGCTGCAATATGCAAACCCCAAACACTAAACGCAATGCAACGAAGACATGGTCTTAAATCGTATACCCTAAACCCTAAA